AAGAAGTAGGGAAATGGCAGGTAAACTAGAACCTAGAACCTCTAATTCCGGAAAATACAATAAGTTATAACTACCATCAAGATTCTCCAACAGTATTCAGCAGCTCCGCCAATACATTATGGGCTTTGAGTTTAATAAGTCATAACTTAAATTATAAGCGTGTTGTAAGTTAAATAACAGGGTTGCTTTTCAGTAAAATTTGAAGACGTCTAATTTTCTATGTTAAATTACAAACGATTAGTTCACATACAGCCACCAGTGGCTAGTTCTACACAAAATAAACGGCACTTGAATCCATTTTCTCGATACCACATTTATGACTTAACACTATTACACTATACAGACTATTCAGTTTGAAGTTACAAGCCAAATAAAAATATAAGTACCAAACTATCCTTCAAGGATTGCACCCCTATCATGGAGAAGATAAAGAGGAAAATAGAAGGGTGAAGCAATAAACTATCGACTTACGTTGGTCGGTTGCTATTGGTGAAGTCAGTGTTGCTTAGTGTTTAGCTCTATTGGAGTAGCTATTCCTATTATCACAAGCTGTCATTAAGAGGATTGAAGCTATGCTTACTGCATTCTTATGGAAAGGAGTAGATTCTATCAAGAATGGGATCAAAGTATGCTGGAAGGAAATGAGCAAACCTATCAAACAAGGAGGGCTAGGACTGCCTAATTTAACTAATTGGAATAAGGCTTTATTGTTTAATCATATTTGAAACATAGCACTTAAAAAGGATTCTCTTTCGATTGCTTGGGTTCACACTGTGAAATTCAAAAAATAAATGTTTCTAGTCTATTTCATTGCCTCAATTTTGTTCTTGGATTTGGCATAAACTTCTTTGGATCAGACTTATTACACAGCCTTTTATTGTCTCAGTGATCAAAAGTGTAGAAAATACTTATTTCTGGTATGATAATTGGTGCCATAGAGGGCCATTGTTGACAGCTTATGGGCCCAATATGGTGCGATAGTTTGGAAGTACGCTACAGGCTAAGGTTTCTTTTATCATTGAAAATAGAGAGTGAAAGATCCCCACTGGTAGGAGGAGAACGGATGAAATAGATGATTTTGCACAATTTCTTCCTTCTAGACAGTCATTAAGTGAGGGAATGTTAGATATAGTGAAACGGCTGCCCAGTAACTCTGGTTTGTTCTCTATCAGATATGCAAATGAAGTGTTGAATCATTTCACTGCTGAGGTCTATTGGCATCATCTTGTACGGTTCAAAAAATATATCCCAAAACATTCATTTATCTTATGGTTGTTGTGTGAGAACAGATTAAGCACAAAGGATAGGTTGGTTAAGTGGGGCATTATGACTGAAATGAAATGTGTATTAATTTTTTTTTTTTTTTTGACAAACGATACCAATTTTATAGATATTAACACTTGATAACACAAGGGCTAATTACAAAAAGGGGTAACTACCCCCATATCCTTTCTAGCTAACACTGATAGCCAAGATGGGAATGAACCTTCCCATTCAATAATCCTAACCGCGTTGACTGCAAATTGAGCCATAGCATGGCTACAACCATTAGCAGTCCTGGGAGCAAACAAAAACAAACAGCATTCAAAACTCTTCTTCAGGTCCTCAATGTCTTCCAGGATTGTTTGTAGTTTACATTCTTGCACATTGCCGAACTTGATTTCATCAATGATTTTTCCTCACTGAAATGTGTATTATGCTATACTAGAAATGAATCTTGTAATCATCTCTTTTTTCAATGTAAGTATACAGCTTATATTTGGTCAAGAATAACTCAATACTGCTTGCAATGTCAAGGGACTTATGAATGGAATACTGAAGTTGAATGGCTCAGTTGTCATTGGAAGAAAGAATGCTTTATAAACACAGTAAAGAAGTTGGCACTACGAGCAGCTGTATATTATACATTTTTTTTTTTTTGTCGAAACGATAGGATACTTTCATTATAGTAAGGAAAAAATTTACAAGTGCGAGCAACGGCTCGAGAGAACTTTACAAAAGTGTTCAAAGACACTGAGGAACATTCCTTTCCTCATCCACAATAATGCCTAAAGCATCAACACTTAATTTTCTACTATCTATCATATTTTCTTCCCTACTCAAGCAAAAGGAGCACATGCAAAACAGTTTTTTCACATTCACAATATCCTCCAGCAATGTAGCCATTCTGCTCCCCATAGGCTGTGTTTTTGTTAGTTGTTTCAGCAGCTCCTTGTTGGCAAAATTGAGCTTGATTCTGTTCCAACGATATTGCGCAGCTTTACACAGGACTAACTTTAAAGCTAATGCATCATCTAGGCTTTGGTTCCCCAGGCTTCTTTCTTTCAGCTTCCATTCTGCAATCTTGGTGCCTGTAGTTGTTCTAACTGTTACTCCAATGCCTAGATTGTTTTGACCTTTCCTTGTAGCTGTTGACAGGTCCATGATCATAGCTCCCTGAGCTTCATTGCCTTGGCTTTGTTGATCATGCATGTGGTCTGTTTCTTCTGTGCTCGTTCTATCTTTTGATTTCTCTACTTCCACTTGCTCCAGCCACTCTCTATGTGCTTTCTCTACTGTTCTCAGTGGTGGTGATCTAGTTGAGCTCTCAAACTCCTTCTTATTCCTATCTTTCCATATTTGCCACAAGATATTTGCCGTTAATCCAATATGTTCCTTCCCTTCTGGTCTTGCCCTTGCTTCAATAGGGTGTTCCATGGAATGAGAGAAATTATAGGGTGTTCCAATATAAAGCCTCTGATGCTGAAGCTATTGTACGCAGAGTGCTAAAGGAGATTCACAGCTATGTGGTAGAATGGAAGAATGTATCGAGTACAAGGGACAAATGGTTATTTTACCTTAGTTGGGATTTTTCCTAAGAGATTTTCCTTAAATGTTGACGGCATAATCGGAGTTTAGTTCATTGAGCAGTACTATAGTATAGCTTAATTGGTTGTAGCCGTAACTTTGTGGAGCAGATTCCTTTGCACTTATGTACATTCATGTTCTATTAAATAAAATCCCTTTTTACGTGTATATATATATATATATATATATATATATATATATATGTATGTATGTATAAGGCTCAAGAGAATTAAACTTACAAATGCACCCTACAAACCATTCTCCTTTTCATGTACTCCATCTATTCGTATAACTCACGATTTCCTATGATATTTATTAGACACGTACATTGGTTTTCCAAAGTCTTTGAACCAAGATTGTGACAAACAAACATAAACCTTAATTTCATCAATTATTCAAAATTCACACAAATGTTCATATCTTAGTTTCAATCCACATTTATGCACACAAATACAAATGTTGGCTCTGTCATTCAATGCTGTGATTACAAGAAATACGGCCCGTAACAATCTACTTTGAATGATAAACTCTTATGAATGGGAATAAAACTAACATCTTTTTTCATAGAAATTACTTTTAAATAGGAATTACTTTTAAAATTTTAAGAATGCTAAGTGAAATTATTAGAAGCCTTTGAAATTATCCCTTAAGGAAAATAAGTAAGGTAGCCAACAGACATCCTGGTTACTACGCACCACACTACGCCCCATCACACCTATATTTGGTCTTGAATTGAATGGCATTCCAAAATTGATTATCAACATTTGTAAAGATGTAGATATACCATAACTAGATACCAACGCCAAGGCAATCGAGAATCTAAAACTCTTGGAGACCTAAAAAATCCTCATTGGTAGATCAATGCGCTGATCAGGAAAAATAATTACGTGCGTAACATTTCTAAATTTCAGGTCAGGAGAAAAACTACGTGAAAATTTTCCTTTTCGATACATGTGATGAAGGCTACATGCATTTAGAAATTTTCAAGAACTCCAATAAAGTGAAAACATGTATGGTCGTAATGGGCTATTGAAAGCTGAAAGTATCATAATCTGGATAATAATTTAGGGGCAAATTCCTCATATTTCCCTTGTAGTTTAGCATTTTTTAAGATATACCCCTTATGGTTCAAAAAAGTCCACTTGTACCCTATGTGCTTTGAATTTAAGTAGGAAAACATGGAAGCAGACTTCACTAGCGGAGATTTCACTGTAAGCATTTCAATAGTGCAATTAGTTACTTGATTCTAATGACGTGAAGACTTAATAATATTTTTCCTCCACAAATACCTCCAAATTAACATTTGCAATCTTTAAAAAGTTTCAAATCATCACTTTTAGAGTATTTGAACCTTCTATACAATAAAAAATGGTTGATATATTTTTATTATAAAGTGCAAATGTTCATCTGAGGGTATTTTCGAAAGAAAACATTATTTTAGTTTATCATCACTAGAAACAAGTAATCAGTTAGACTATTGGATTGTGTAAAGTTAAATTTTCACTAGTAGAGTCTATTTCTGCAATACAACAAAAATGGTCTTTCCTCACATTCCTATAAGGACACTTGCTGGTTTGTGTCATTATAGCACTCCTATCATGATACTTATTACCAACTCAATAATATATACTCTAATTTTTTTTAATTTAATCAGATATAAAAATAATAATGTGCCTTTAGACTACCTAACATGACACTTAAGAAAATGTGAGATGTACAAAAAAAAAAAAGAAAGACACAAAACGGCATCGTTTGATTTTGGCAGAAGATTCATTTGCTTAAAATACTCAAAATTTTCATTCTGCCGGCCAAAACACTTAGTCAAAACACTTGCTCAAAATTTTCATTTTCCGGCTCCACCATTTCCAGCCCCCCTTCCCCCTCTCTCTGTCTCTGTTGTTAGATTCCAACATAGTTGGTGGGAAAAATGGGTAGCAGCCAGGCAGCAGTTTCGTTCTGACGTAGTTGGTTTGGGTATCGGCGCCACCGTCCTCAACTCCTCCCTCTACATTGTCGACGGAGGGCAGCGGGCTGTCCTCTTCGACCGGTTCCACGGTGTCATCGATGACACCATTGGAGAGGGTACTCACTTCCTCATCCCCTGGCTCCAGAAGCCCTTCATCTTTGACATCCGTACCCGTCCCCACACGATTCCGATTACGATTAGCCCCACCTTCATCTTCATCATTAGGATCTTCCAAGCATCGAAGCCTGTGATTGGAGCTCCGATTTCCATAAAGCTTCAACCGTGGCTCCCTCAGGCAGCCAACAGCAGCATCAGCAACAAAATCTCTCTCGAAGGAAACCCTCTTTCGGGTCATCGTCTTCTTCTTCTTCGAATTCGGCTCAACAAATTTCTCCCCCGACTCGAATAGTTTATCGAGAATCGTCTTCCAAGTCCGATCTCAGTTTGCTCTTTTGGCAAACTACCTGGTTCATTGGCTTACTTTTACTAATGGCAATCTCGTTTTTCGGTCTCGCCATTTTCCTTTTTCTTACCCTTGACTCTGATTTCATCTCTTCCCCCGTCTCTGCAGCTTCCGAAGGCGTCCAGGTAAACCGAAAGCCCACTTACTACTTCAAATTTGTGGTTTTTGCGTTCCTGTAGTTGCACAGATATGCGGTGCATCTTTGTGTGTGTGCTTTTCCCCCTATTTGTTGAAACTGTACGCGAAAAGTTGTTTTATAGTTATTTTTGGTTCAAAATTTTGACCAAGTTTGTGCTATTATAGGCATGTGATGGTTATAAATTCTAGCGCTTCAGAGGTTTCTAAGCTAAAAAAGGACAGGGAAAGAGGAAATGGAGTTGTTTGTGTAGAATTAGTAATAGCCTTCGACATGTTTGATGAAATGCCTCGATAATCTTTGTTAAAAATCTAGCTGGGTGTCAGTTAAAAATTGCAATTTGGATTTTTAAAGAGCTGATTTATGAATTAAATTTGATTTTTTTTCCTGTTTTATAGTTTGACATTTCTGTTGTGTGGCGAAAATAAAAAATGGTGTATGATGCTTTGAGTTCTAATAGTTGTATAATGGGGCTTTGTGCTAAGTCATTCTTATTTTGTTCGGCATCTGTGATTTTGATAGATTACTTATGGGTCAGTGATCAAGTTGATGCATGAGAGAACAAAGTTTAGGCTGCATTCGCATGATGAACCATATGGCTCTGGTAGTGGGCAGCAGTCCGTCACTGGTTTTCCCAACGTTGATGACTCAAACAGCTATTGGGTATGTTTCTTTTTCTAGTATCTATTTTTTTCTAGATCATCATAATTTTCTAAGGTTAGGTATGATTAAACTTGGCTTGCAGATTGTTAGACCTGTATCAGATACCAATGCCCAACAAGGGGATACAATCAAAGGTGGTACCATCATCAGGCTGCAACACATGAGGACCAGAAAATGGTTACATAGCCACTTGCTAAATGTAAGTCTTACTATGATGCCTATTGCTGTTATGCCTTATGCAATTAATCTTCTTATCAGTAAATAGCATGTAATGGGTAAAAACCACTATGCCTTATGAACTTGTGTTGATAGTTACTAGGCCACTCACAGCCTGTCTATCAGCTTCTGAAACCGTGATACTTCTCTTTCTTGTGACAAATTCATAACTGATTCTACAATAATGTACTTCCTTGGTTCCGGGTAAGCATTCTGGTTTGTGTTTTCTTGCTAGTGCTCAACATTTGTGTAGATGACAGTAGATTGTTAGAAGAAAATTTTCTTTCCTGATAGGGTCCTTGAGACTATTTGCATTAAAAACCATGAAAACATTATTAATTGTTCCGTATATACTCCTTTATCTTTCCATTTCCTTGGTCCTGCAGTCTTGTGTTGTCAAAATCATGCTTATATCTTGTTCTTCCTCTGTTTTGCAGTAGCATTTGATAGAAGAACTTTCAGCCTACAAGATACAAGTGAGCTGTTGAGAGTCGATTGACTTTCTTGATGTGTAATTCATGTCACGTAAATGAACGCTAGTTACGCTTTTAGCTCCTTCTCATTAGCTTACCATTTGTCAGGTATGTCTGGATATCTGTACGGACTTCTTGTGGCCATTTACCTTACTAGTCATGTGCTCTTCTGTTATTTATGAATCATTCCTGTGAATCTTTTCATGTATGAAACATGATGACAAATCTACTCTCGCTTATGGGAGTTGGCATTTTCAGTTCTCATAATCACGGTGCTGCTCAAGTTTGATGTTTCTAGATTTTTGCATCATAGCATATTTTCTTATATGCATTTTGTTCTTTGGGATAATTTTACAAGTCCTTTGGGCTTCTGATTGACAGAATGTATAGCATGGAGCACTACCTGCAAGTTGCTTCTATATCAAAAAAAAAAAAAATTTCCTGGCAATTAAAAGTGTCAGTATAGAATTCGAAATCCTAATGTTGTACTATAGCTATCCTGACACTTTCAATTATCAAGAAAAGGGATTTTTGTTGACGGATGGGAAGTTATAACAGCATAATTTTCCTGACACGTTTGAATATATGAGCCTATCCCCACATTGGAAGGGACAACACTCGTCTGAGGTGTGAGGAAAAGTAAAGTGTCAGGTTAGATTATCTATACTGACACCTTTAAATGCCGTTAAAAGTCATTTTTGTTGTAGTGCTGTCAGTTTTTCACTTAAATTAAAAGCACAATGGATGTTAGTGAATATTTTTTAATCACAAGGGGTGTGTCTTAAAAAGAGTTTAATCATAGAGGTGTCGAATTAGTAGGGTTGGGCACGGGTCGGGTACCCACCCCTATCATGATTTGGCTGACCCGACCCTAATATATCGAATCAGTCATTTTCCGACTCTAACCCGCTCCTAATGTCTTCGCATACACGTTATTCGGGTACCCGAAAAAAAAAGGTGGGTCATAGGGTACCCGCCCCCAAAAAAAACTATTTTTCAATAAAAAAATTATTTTTCACTTAATATCAACATGTTTTTCAATGAAAAAAACATACTTTTCCAATTAATATTGGTAGAGATATTGTAATTAAAGTCCATACATCACCATTCTCACACATTTCATCCAACAATCAAATCGATCTCATAAATTTAGTACATATTAGAATTATAATATCAAATGGACAAAACGAAATTTCATAATAATTTTGAGTACATCACCATTCTCACACATTTCATCATTCTACAACACAACAAACACAAGGATAGTAAGTATTTGGCAACTTCTCCAACTTCCTTAAGGATGTTATGGTACAAGACTGCATCCCAAATAAGTCGATTGTGAAATCAAGTTCGAAAAAGAATTGAATAGAACTAATTATTTTTGAAAAAAATATAACCAAAATAACCTTAAAAAATCTTCCCCAACTTCTTTACTTCTTTGGAATAGACCTTATGGTATTAAAGGTGATGAAAAAAAAAGAAATTTCTTACACTAAATAAAAGAGACATAATTGCAATAAAATAAATCAAATAAATAAATAAATGAAAGACACAAATGTTTTAATTATCTAGCTAACAGAAAATTGAAACTCCAAATACAAATCTTTGATTGTACTGATGCAAAATTTCCAGGAAAGATCAATGCAGGTAGAATAAAAATAAAAAGGATGAACAATTTTTATAATAGAGTTTCACAAATTTTTTTCATTTTGTTCATTTGGTTCATGTTTCACCAAAAATATTCACTTTCTTCGAACAAGATGAAGAGAGGTGGATCATATAGAATTAGAATATGAGGCTGTGAGCCACTTCACTTGCACTTAGAATTAAAAATTACAAAGTTATAAAATGATTCCTAATTTTTTAATATTTATAAAATATACCCTGCGAGTCGGGTGCCCGCGGGTTTTTATTTTTCTGATCTGTATCCGTACCCAATTTTTGTGGGTACCAGACCCTCATCTGCCCCGCTAAGAAAAATTGGATTGGATATCCTATTTTTCGTTTCGGATCGGATCGGATCGGGTTCATCGGGTTTTCGGATCGGCGGGTTTTTTTGCCCACCCCTAGGAATTAGCCCATAATCTAATTTTCCTAAAGAAAGATTTTGGGTAAAAATAAGATGAGACAGAAATAATGCGAGAAACTGATAAAAGAAATCAAGCGATCGATTTTTACCAAGACGATGTTTCTTCTCATTTGTGAAAAAAATATTTCCGAACTTATCAACTTTTGATCTTTGGAAAAAAAAAAACACAAAAGATTATCCATGATTTATCGACACGAAAAAAAAATAAGACATGTAGCATACTTCGAAGAGTTATTTCTAGGTTTTTGTTGTTTATGAAATTCAATTAGATTTCAATGGCACATTGATGAGTTATCTTAAAATACAAGTATATAAATGGAATATGCGGCAATCACAATAGTAGAAGAAATATTTAGGCAATCACACAGTGTTTTGTGTCCTTTGAATTGCGGACCACTTCAGGAACATTCCCGCTGTGGAACATCGATATGCATAGATTGGTTTTATTAATTTATTTATTCTAAAAGTATACTCAAAATTGCAAAATACTTCATTGAAGTTGTCTATGGAGTTCACCGGAATCCATGGAGAAGGGAAAGCGGTAGAGATTATTTAGAGGGTATACCCAACATCCAAATTTTCTACAAACACTTTCCATATGTGCATAAGGAAATTCAATAATTTAAAAAAGCTTTGAAATCGAAATTTTTTTAATTTAAAAAATTAAAGTACTTAAATTTGGAAAAAATTATTATGATGGCGTGGCATTTCCTACTTTGACATCTACATAAGTGGTGATACACCAGTGATCTAAAAATCAGTGATACATGTCATCACTCTCCATTTTAATGCCTTACAAAGCTTTTGCATAAACTGCAACTCAAAAAAAAAAAAAAAGGAAACGAAGGAGGGGGAATTTTCTACAATTTCATCTTGAAGGAGGGCAATGGTTTGGGATGAAACTGAAATTAAAAATATGTCTTATAGTTGCCTGCTTTTTTTTTTGTTTGGGTTTGTGTGTTGGGTGTGTGTGTGTGTGGGGGGGGGAGGGGACATATAGTTGCCTGAATTGTTAATGCTATCTATGAATCGTAGTTTTAATTGCACCTTTTGCGTGTACTTCTTGGATAATTTGTTTGCACTTGTTGAGGGCTGACGATAGTTCCTAGGTCCTTCTGCAACTTGTTGAGAATGCCATTATGGGAAGAGTTTAGAATTTGGTACTTTTCCAGTTGCTTCCATAGGCTGCTAGCACAGAAGATGATATAGTCTTTGCATTTGGAATCTGCCAAGAAGGGTGGCCTTTGTGATGAAGACTGCACCCCGTAGAGAATCTTTTTCTAATCCCATTTCCAGATTCTGAAGAAGCTTGAACCTGGTCACAATTACGTAGTAGATGAAAATATGAGAATAATATCTACAAGAGATATCTAAAATAGTAGATACCGATCCAGCATCATCTACTCTCCCTCCAGTTCCTTATTATTTTCAAACTGCAATTGTCTACACCAACCAGAAACTAATTCAAACTGCTAAGACTAATAGCAATAAAGTAGTTAAAAGTTCAGGAGGATTCAAAACTAGGTTTAGCTTGACACTGATTAATTGGATTATTAGTTTTGTTTTTGTTATGACTAAGTTCACTTCTGCTAAGCATACGCAAGGAAGAATGTCAGATTTTTTGCAGCATGTCCAAAAGTACAAATAAGGTTGTATTGGCAATGTCAAGTTGAAAACGAGAGATCAAAGGGGATAAGTAGGATGTCCTGAATGCAAAGAAAAGATTGAAGAAAGGATCATTCCTGTTCTATTCTTTCTCACTCTTTTCATTTGGCCCCATATCACGACTAGGTTTAGGCACAAGATGTGTTAGGTCTGACCCTAAAAAATTGACAAAAGGATTTTTGGTAACTCCAAAAGACAAATAACAACGCAAAAATAAATAAAATAGGAACACAAGAATTTATATAGTTCGTTTAAATTGACCAACGTCCACAGGGGGAGAATGATCAATATTTTACTATGAAAAAGAGAGTACAAAAATGTCTTAGGAAACTATTTCTAGGTCTAAAACATCTAATACTTAAAATACAAGAGAGCCCAAAATATTTGACTAACCAAAAGGTTTAATGATCCAAAAGTCAAAATAACCCACGAAAACTCTTTTGGTTTGGTGCACTTAATTCCCATCACAGGCCCACTATATTTATAGGCAATTAAGGGACAAGTTCTCTTATAGAAAAGGAGATGTGAGACAAAGCCACTTTAACAATTCTCCACCTTAGCATGTCCCCAATATCGACAATAGCACATCTGCTTCACCTTCTCCATATAAGCTCCAATGGGCCTAAATCACTAACAACGAGTAACAACCAAGTTCAAGCATTGCTTGAAATTTCATGGGTCACCTCCTTGTCACGCACTTAATAAGAAATATATAGCACCAATATTATTCTAAACCATTTGAGTAGACAAAAACAATTCAAACAAAGACCAAAGAAGCTGAGTTAGCCAACAGACTCCCTGGTCAATACACGCCACTCTACG